ATGGTTAAAGCATTCAACTGCAAAAACAAATATTGGCACTTTAAACCCACCAGTGGCTCTGTGAGAGAAAAGAATTGGTGATCTGCTCCAGTAAATACTATAGCATAGTAAGCCCTATGGGACAGTTCTACTCTGTCTTATAGGGTTGCTATGAGTTGGAATCAACTCAATGTCACACAACAGCAACATCATGGCATGGTGGCTGGGTTCCAAGAGTACGTGCCTTAGAGAACCAGGAAGAGGCTGCATTTCTTTAATGACTCGGCCTCAGAAGTCACATACAGTCATTCCCACTATCATGAAAATTCAAGAGACGAACATAGACCCTCCTTCCCCTCTTCCTACCATTGATGGGAGACATGTCATAGTTTCTTTGTAAGAAGAACATGTTGGATGAGAGGTATTGTGCTTACCTTTGGAAAATAAAATTTACCTCACTGTCTTGGAACCCAGTAAATTTTTGAGTGTTTGTTTGTGTGTATAAAATGGAGGATGATCTAAGTTCAAGGACTCCTATTCAAAATTCAGAGAACTTTTATCTCAAAAGGACCTTCTTGGTTAAAGTACAGTCATCCTTTGGTATTCACAGGGGACTGATTCCAGGACCCCAGTGGATACTAGAACCTGCAGATGTTCAAGTTCCTTATATCAAATGGTGTAGTATTTGCATATAACCTATGCATATCCTCCCGTATACTTTAAATCATCTCTATATTATAATACCTAATACAATGCATATGCTATTTAAATAGTAGTTATACTGTACTGTATTGTTTAGGAAATAATGACAAGATGCAAGGTGTACAATGCTCAGAAGAGTGCTGAAGAGAGACTGAGGATCTGTGAAATGATGGGAGGCTACAACAGGGTGTGCCTAGAAACCACTTCATTCTCGTGGATTCAGTGAAGAGCTTGGTGTGCAGCAAATTCAAGTTTTGCTTTTTGAAACTTTCTTTTTTCTGAATATTTTTCATCCACGATTGTTTCAATCCATGAATGTGGAACCCGAGGCTACAAAGGGCCCACTGTATGGTAAAACTGGTCCTTGAACATCTAATTCCAAAGCTTGTATGTTTCCACAACATCCCTGGGCAAGCATTCCTTCATCATAGCTTCTTTACGATCTATGTCATCTTCGTTTTAATGTTTCAGATGTTTACCCTAATTTACATGACAGAAGTATTAGTAATAGCAAAATAATTAAAATAATAAATAAAATTAAAAAAATGCCAACGAAAATTCTAAGTAACAGGATATTTTGAAAGAAATGTTATTTTATTAAATTCCAGTACTTGTGCTCTAGTGAGCACTGCCAGTGCAGGAGGAACAAAGCTATATGTGTTACAGATCTTCCTGTTATTAGTGAAGTTGCCTGAAACCACGAATCACTTGCATATTCATTATTTGAATGCAACTGCTACTCTAAACTCAAAACCAAACCCATTGCCATCCAGTCGATTCCAACTCACAGAAACCCTAAAGGACTGAGTAGAACCTCCTCATAGCATTTCCAAGTAGTGGCTGGTGGATTTGGACTGCTGACCTTTAGTTAGCAGCTGAGCTCTTAATCACTGTGCCACGAGGGTTCCACTGCTATTCTAGAAGTCCTTTATTTACGAGGATTATGTGGGTTATATTTTCCTTTGCACACTCTATCTTCAGAAGTACTGCTAAACTTCTTTCTCAGAAACTCCATGTAATAGAAAGATCAATAGTGAGAATGCTTAGTTAGACACTCTTACAGCAGGTCCTACCCTGTAAATTCCCCTATCCAGATAATACTTGGGGTGGAAGGAATACACAGAGTCACTATATCAACAAGAATTGGTCAATGTTCAACCATTTCAGGAGGTAGCATGTGATCAGGAACCAATGGTATTGAAGCAAAAGGTCCAAGGTGCACGGAAGGCATTGGTGAAAAACAAGGCTCCAGGAATTGACGGAATACCAACTGAGATATTTCAACAAATGGATGCAGCACTGTAAGTGCTCACTCATCTATGCTAAGAAATTTAGAAGACAGCTACCTGGCCAACCGACTGGAAGAGGTCCATATTTATGCCTATTCCAAAGAAAGGTGATCCAACTGAATGTGGAAATTACCTAACAATATCATTAATGTCACACGCAAGTAAAATTTTGCTGAAGATCATTCAAAAGCAGCTGCGGCAGTATATTGACAGGGAACTGCCAGAAATTCAAGCCAGATTCAGAAGAGGACATGGAATCAGGGATATCACTGTTGATGTCAGATTGATCCTGGCTGAAAGCAGGGAATACCAGAAAGATGTTTACCTGTGCTTTATTGACTATGCAAAGGCATTTGACTGTGTGGATCATAACAAATTATGGATAACATTGCAAACAATGGGAATTCCAGAACACTTAATTGTGCTCATGAGGAAACTGTACATAGACCAAGAGGCAGTCATTTGAACAGAACAAGTGGATACTGCAGAGTTTAAAGTCAAGAAAGGTGTGCGTCAGGATTGTATCCTTTCACCATGCTTATTCAATCTGTATGCTGAGCAAATAATTCAAGAATTTGGACTATACGAAGGAGAATGGGGCATTGGAATTGGAGGAAGACGTGTTAATAACCTGCGATATGCAGATGATACAACCTTGCTGGCTGGAAGTGAAGAGGACTTGAAGCACTTACTGATGAAGATCAAAGACTACAGCCTTCAGTATAGATTACACCTCAACACAAAGAAAACAAAAATCCTCACGACTAGACCAATAAGCAACATAATAATAAACGGAGAAACAATCAAAATTGTCAAGGATTTCATTTTACTTTGATCCACAATCAAAGCCCATGGAAGCAGCAGTCAAGAAATCAAAAGGTGCATTGCATTGGGCAAATCTGCTGCAAAAGACATCTTTAAAGTGTTGAACAGCAAAGATGTCACCTTGAAGACTAAGGTGCACCTGACCCAATCCATGGTGTTTTCAATCTTTTCATATGCATGCGAAAGCTGGACAATGAATAAGGAAGACCAAAGAAGAATTAACGCCTTTGAATTGTGGTTTAGAAGAAGAATATTGAATATACCATGGACTGCCAAAAGAAAGAACAAATCTGTCTTGGAAGAAGTACGACCAGAGTGCTCCTTAGAAGCAAGGACGGCAAGACTACATCTCACATACTTTGGACATTTTATCAGGAGAGATCAGTCCCTGGAGAAGGACATCCTGCTTGGTAAAGTAGAGCGTCAGTGAAAAAGAGGAAGACCCTCAATGAGATGGATTGACACAGTGGCTGCAACAATGGGTTGAAGCTTAACAACAATTGTGAGGATGGTGAAGGACCTGGCAGTGTTTTGTTCTGTTGTACATGGGGTCACTATGAGTTGGAACCGACTTGATGGCACTTACCAGCAACAACAACAAATAATCCTTTTGTTTCCTTTCCATTCTACAGATATTTATTAAAGAAAAATAACAGTTTGTGTACTGTTTGCATTGTAGGAGGCTAATAAGAAGATAGCCTTATGTAGTTCTTACCTTTTTGTCAAGTACTTTTTCATTTTAATTACTACTAATTAATTCTCTAGTGTCTTTCTCTTTAAATTTCACATAAGCCTGTAATAGTATAAATACACCAAGTCTCCTAAGTCTCAAATCAAATCCCAAAATAGCAATATCTAAAAGGGGAAAATTATTATTTTTTTATTTTTTAAAAATACCTCTAATTTAATCCTATGAAATGCCATTCCATCTCTAATGTCATTGCCCAAGTTAACTCATGTCTGGGATGTTGTAATAGTCTGTTGACTGGTCATTCTACAGCCTGTTTCCTTCTTCTCTCTTCTTGTTTATCTGGTGATTCACTATTTAAAGAATGTGACTTCCCAGGATGAAGGTATTTCTATATATTTCTAGAAGCTATAAGTGAAGAGTTACGGGGAGAAATAAGTAGGTAGTGTGCCTAATACATGACCTAAACTCTTTAATCAGACATTCAAGGCCATCTTCACTCCATATAGTTTAGACTCATCCACTCCTCTGAACATAGCATGGCAAGCTGCCTCTAGTAGAACCTTGAGTTATCTTTTATCACCTCAGAGTCTAGATTCTTTTTGTTTTTTGTAGTTGCTGTATAAATGTTTGTTCAATGAAGATATCAAAACCCTGCCAATCTTGGAGAGACAGTTTGTTCAAACTTAGCTTGTGTAATAAGCTCTTTGACTTCTCTAGCCTTTTGATAAGAAAGGACTTATTTTGCACCAGGTACTTTACATAATTATCTCATTTAGTTCTCATACATTCATACAAAGCAGTTATTATTAATCTAACTTTCAAACAGGAGACTGAAACTGAAGCATTATAAAATTTGCAGAAGATTCTACATCTATTGACTGGTGGAATCAGGATTAGAATACCGGTAGGTCTAAGTAACTCCAAAATCCATGTTATTTCTACCACTCAGTTTGACCTGTGTCATATCCTGTCTTGAGTGGGAAAGTAAAGATAGTGAAAAGAATGCTAAACCTATAAGCTAAAGAGTTACAGTCTGAGCTCTGACACATTTTAAATGACCTTGTGAAAGTCACTTTTTTCCGTGAAGTTGTATTTTATCATCCTAAAAATGTGGTTTCTTTTTTAAGCTCGGTGACGGTTATACAAAGATTTATTTTATTGTTTGTACCTTAAACTTATTTATCAGTATTCCTTTACATGTGTTATATATTTAATAAAATTACTTCATAAAAAAGAAAAAAGAAAAAAATTACTAAAACAAAGGAAAATATGAATAGTCTTTCAAATACCTCTGAGCTCTAGGAGATACTCTAGACACCCCTTAATCCAGTCCTTTTATTTTATAAAGTTTGTGATTAAGACATTGAGGCACATCACTTTACCAAAGGAATAAAAAAGTTAGTGGTTGAGCTGAAACTCAATTATTCTGATTTCCACTTGAATGATATTCCCTCCCTCTTTTGATAAGTGAATAGTTGCTTTTCTAGCAGACAAATAAGATAGTCACAGTAAGGTTAGGGGGCTTGGCTGCCTGCTGGAGACTCCCGGGAGGCTTGGCACAGAAGCCTTCCCAGAGCTCGCTTCACCTCTTTGTTCAGCAGAGTGTAAATGAAAGGGTTGAGCATTGGAGTGACCATTGTGTAGAAGACAGCAGGGGCCCCAGCTCCTGCCCCACTGGAGCGAGGCTGCAGATAGATACACACAGGTGGCATGTAGTACAAGAGCACCACTGTGAGGTGTGCAGTGCATGTGGAGAAGGCACGCTGTCAGCCCTCAGCTGTGTGTGTCCGCAACACAGAGGCCACAATAAAGAAGTAGGATATGAAGATGAGGATCAGACAGCCTGCAGCCACAATGCCAATGTTGGCAAGCATGATAATCTCTTTGTTGGTGGTGTTTGCACAGGCTAGCTTCAGCACAGGGGGCTTGTCACAGAAGAAGTAGGCAACGTGGTGAGGTCCATAGTAGAGCAGGTGGAAGGTGAGGGAGGTATGGATTGCAGAGTGTATAACACGTATGGCCCAAGTGATCCCAGCCAGCCCTGCACACATTTGCCTCTTCATGGCCACTGGGTAGTGTAGGGGTTGACAGATAGCCAGGTAACTGTCATAGGCCATGACAGTGTACAGGAAGCATTCAGTGCTGGCCAGGAAGTGGAAGCAGCAAAACTGGACAGCACAGCCCTCAGAGGAGATCACCTTCCCATACAGAGTCAGAAGACCTGCCATTACCTTCGGCATTGTCACTGTAGACAAACATGCATACAGGAAGGAGAGGTGCCCCAGGAAGTGGTACATGGGGGAGCGGAGATGGCAGTCCGAGCCCACCCTTATGAGATTGAGGAGATTCTCAGTCATGGTGACGCTATAGATGAGAAGGAAGAGGAGGAAGAAGAGGGAAGGATGTTCAGCTGTGTACATCAGGCCCTCAAGGAAGAAGTAGCTCACCATAGTCTGATTGGGGTACTCTGTCTCGCTGGCCGTTTTGTCACCCAGAGTGGTTAGTTATCTCCTTGCAGCAAAACTGATAACAACAGATGTAATAAATAGGCATTTACCTCTCTTGAAATATCATTATCCATTGGGCCAAGCTATCATTCCTTCTTCATGAGTCTTTTCAATATGAGATCTGCAATATTTATGAAGTACATAAAGGACTGTCAGGATTATTTGGAGAAGTGTACCTCCGAAATAATGGCAATATAAGCAAGTATTGCAAATCACTCTGTCTTTGGGTATATATATTTTTTCATATGTTCCAGAATTGTGATGTCCCTGTCCTCCTAATTTGTTCTGCCATGCTGCAGATATGGGTAGGCAGGTTCTTATCTTCTGGGGACCTTGCCTAGAGTTTGGGGCCTATTACATCAGCCAAAAACAGGGCAGTCCCACACTTCCCTCACCCAGAGGGAGTTCTTTGGAATTTCAGCTACTAACAACCCTCAAGTGTATGACAAAGAGCCCTTGGAGAGTTGTCTAAATAATTATCAAGATAAATTGTGCAGTATATTTCATGCTCGTCCTATAAAACTTTGTCTCGTTAACCGTTTAGGAACTTTCCACTTAAAACTGTCCTTTTTGTTGAGACTTTCCATCAGGCCAGAATTGAAATTGAAGCATTCTCTATGATTTTTTCTCATCTATTATCTCCAAAATCTAATCAGATGTTGAAGTATGTGCAAATTTTCTTTAAACTGCCTTTTCTGTTATCTTTTCAATTACCATGGATGTTACCTAACCCTATCTTTGTTGATTTTATACCTAGATTTTCACAGTGGTCTTTTCTGTCCCATCTCTCAATCACTCCTCTAATCCAACAAATGATTCTGCATTCAACTCCTTTGTCAGTCTTTAAGCAACATATGTAATTCGTTTCTCCGCTTTATTAGTCTCCACTGCCTAAAGCATAAAGTGCATCTCAGTCTGCTATTCACAGTTATCTGTAAACTGCCGCAATTATAATGAAAAAAATCTTATCTCTTGCAATACTCTAAAGAAACTCCTCTTCCCTGGGGATGCAGTTTGTCTCTTCTTTTCTTCAATTCACCATAATCTCTCTCTGATTTCACCACAACATTCTACTTTTGAACCTTAATGGAATACTTTTAATCTACCTCCTGAAATCTATTCTCTATGGTTATGTTTGAACTTTAAAGGAGTCCCTATATAAATATTTTATCTCGCATTGATGTATTTATTACTGAAACCTGATAGTAATTTTGATATGTATGAATAACTATCTAAGCACATACTTCCTTGGACTGCTTTATTGTTCTATGTGTATATGTCATGTCTCCTAAGAGCCACAGAGGGAAAAAAACATCTCTAGTTTTGCATCAACACTTCTGAGATAAAGCAGTAGACATAGCAGGGAGGCAAGTTTATTTAGACTCCTACAAATGTATGTTTCAATCCCTAGTCAACCACACATTTACTGAAAAGATATGAAGCATGGTGCTTAAATTATCTGTTCCTCCATTCCTCAAATTTAAATTGGGTATGTCATCGCTGGTGTTCCATTTAAAGTAACTGTTATTTTACCTAGTATAGAGTGGGGCACACAGCATAGGACCTTAATTGTTCAATGCAGTGGTCTCTCTTGTGGTGTTCCTGACAAAGAGCTACGCAGCATCTACTTGAATAAATTTAGTAATGGAGTAATCCCTATTTCACAAGAAATCCTGTTCCAGTGTTGGATAGTTCAATATATATAATTGTTTTACATCAATTGCATATATATATATATATATATATATATCTTGTATTTCAACCAATTAGTTTTAGAATTGCCCTCTTCATAGCCACTAGAATGACTATGATTAAAACACACAATAGCAAGTGTTATTGGATATGGAGAAACTGAAACCCTCATAGATTGTTAGTTGGGATGTAAAATGGTGCAGTCACTTTGGAAAACCATTTGCCAGTTTTTCAAAAATTTAAACATTAATTTGCTGTAAGCCAAAAAAAACCCCAAAAAACTAAATCCACTGACATCAAGTTGAGTCCAACTCATAGTGACCCTATAGGACAGAGTGGAACTGCTCCTTAGGGTTTCTAAGGCTGTAATCTTTATGGAAGTAGACTGCCACATCTTTCTCCCATGGAGTGGCTCGTGGGTTTGAACCACTGACCTTTTGGTTAGCAGTTGAGCACTTAAGCACTGCACCAACTGTCCTTTGCCATATTACCTGGCAGCTCCATTCATAAGACTCTACCAAAGAGAAATGAAAACATATATCCACAGAAAAAGTTTTCTGTGAATGTTTGTATCAGAAATGTTCATAATAGCCAAACCCTGGAAACAATCCAAATGTTCATCAAATGGTGAATGGATAAACAAAATGAGTATAGCCATACAATAAAATACTATTCAGCATTAAAAAGGAACAAAATACTGATACAGTCTACAAAATGGATGAAACTCAAAAAACGTTATGCTAAGTGAAAAAAGCCAGACACAAAGATGGCACACTGTATAATTCCATTTCTATGAAATGTCCAGAAAAAAAAAAAACAACTGTAAAGACAGAAAGTAGATCAGTGAGTGCCTAGGGCTGGGGGGTGGCAAGGAGACTGACTGCAAATGGGCATGAGGAATCTTTCTGAAGTGATGGAAATGTTCTAAAATTGGGTTGTAGTAATGGTTGCGCAACTCTGTAAATTTGCTAAAAATCTTTGACTTATACGTTTTGGACACGTAAATTTCATAGTATGCAAATTATACCTCAATAAGCTGTTGAATAAAAGAACATAGCAATCAAAAGAAGGAAAGTCTACTGAGTGACACTTACTGTATATGTTTCCCACTCGATCATGGTGTGTTATTTTCTTAATGAGTTGGTGGATTCTATTTGCTAATATTTTAGAAGTTTTGCATTGATTTTCATGCCTTATATTGCTTTGTGCCATCTTTATCTGGTTTGCGTTGTTGTTAGGTACCATCCAACTGGTCTCAACTCATAGCAACCCCATGTGACAGAGTAGAACTGCACGGGAATTTCTTGGTTATAATCTTTATGGAAGCAGATAGCCAGGTTTTTGTCTTGGGGAGCCACTGGGTGGGTTCGAACTGCCAATCCTTCAGTTAGCAACCAAGCCCTTAACCATTTGCAATACTAGGGCTCTTTTTTATCTAGCTTGGTCCCCTGTTATCTAATTTACACTTTTACTTCTGCTTTATTAGTTATTTCCCTATTTTCAGTATCTTAATGTCCACTTATTGACTACACAAAGTGAGCTTTTACTATTTTGCCTCTTCTTTCTCCTCCTGTTTCGTAGTTGCATTGGTTCTACTTGATAACAGTGCATAACATTTGTACATTAGTTTTCTACCTTCACTCCCACCTTTGTTTTAGTCTTACGTTTATATATTTATATATCGTTAAATGTTCACCACCTATCCCTTGGCTGATGAATTTAGAATTCCTTAACTTTATATATGTTGAACATTGTTTTCACATAGTCTTGATCTTTGAAGGACAGCTTGGCTGAATATAAAATATTTGTATCACATGTTGGTTTTAAAATGTCTGATGCCTCGTCTAATTATTTTGCCTTTGTAAATTATTTGATCTTTTTGCCTGAAGGCCTTAAGGGTTTTATCTTTATATTTGAAATATAATATTTTTACTAGGATATGTCTCAGAGTTGACTTTATAAAGTATTCCAAAGACTAGATATAGGAAGTTATCAATCCATTCATGAAATTAACATGATAGTGACATCAGCTGTCTGCCTAAGATGTAATCTGCTTCTGGCCACCAAAAAAAGAAATAAAAACAAATCCGTTGCTGTCGAGTAGATTCTGACTCATAACGACCCTATAGGACAGAGTAGAACTACCCCGTAGATTTTCCAAGGAGCGGCTGGTGGATTTGAATGGCTGACCTTTTGGTTAGCATCTGAACTTTTGACCACTGAGAGACAGGGGCTCCACAGGGGAGTTTAAATTTCCCTTTCAATTCTCTGGTGGGTTGACTAGCCCAAAGAGAAGTCTTAGCCTTCTTTAACTGTGACAAATGAATCCAAGGTTTTATTCCCTTATTGAAGCACTTACTAATGAGTGTCAGAGACTACAACTTTCAGTATGGATTACACTTCAACATAAAGAAAACAAAAATCCTCACAACTGGACCAATAAGCAACATCATGGTAAAGGGAGAAAATGCTGACTTTGTCAAGGATTTCATTTTACCTGGATCCATAATCAACTCCCATGGAAGCAGCTGTCAAGAAATCATACAACATATCACATTGGGCAAATCTCCTGCAAAAGACCTCTTTAAAGTGTTAAAAAGCAAATATGTCACTTTGAGGACTAAGGTGCACCTGACCCAAGCCATCGTATTTTAAATCATCTCATATCCATGCAAAAGCTGGACAATGACGACCTAAGAAGAATTGATGCCTTTGAATTATGGTATTGGTGAAAAATATTGAATATACCATGGAGTGCCAAAAGAAAGAACAAATCTGTCTTGGAAGGAGTTTAACCAGAATACTCCTTATAAAGGAGGATGGTGAGATTTCATCTTACATGCTTTGGACACGTTGTCAGGAGAGAACAGTCCCTGGAGAAGGACATTATACTTGGTAAAGCAGAGGGTCAGCACATAAGAAGAAGACCCATAACGAGACAGTTTTACACAGTGGCTCCAACAATGGGCTCAGACATAGCAAGGATGGTGTAGGGCCAGGTAGTATTTCACTCTGTTTTACATGGGATGCTATGAGTTGGAGTTGACTTGATGGCACCTAACAACAATTTGGCTGCACATTGATTGGTGAGGAGGACCAAGTATGGTCTTTTCCAACAAGGTTCTAATGAGTCATTTATCTGTTGTCTCTTTGAATGTACATATTCTCCTGGGGTGATGTTAGGCAGACTTAAGTGATCTAGTTTCTGTTTATCAAAAGCTTCTTTAACCTGTGAAAGCTATCCTTTAGAATATTGGATTAAAGATTGACAATACTTTCAGTAATTCAGGTTGAAGAATATTAGGGTTGGTGTAGGCAACATAAGGAAGAAGACCCATTACATGGTACTCCCAGTAATTATTTCACAGGGGGTGA